TCTTTAACTATATTCTTAATACCTTTTACTAGATAATGATGAGTGAATATTACATGAATTTGTAGCATTTAAATTTACTTAACAAACGGATTTTTTCAAGTAAATCTTACAAGTTATTTTTTCAGTGTACTTTACTGCAAAAGTCACAAATAGCCATAACAAAATCTCCATTTGAAACATTTCACAGTGCTGAATTCCAAACTCACTGTCTCTGATCCAAATCGCAAACACAATGCCACCAACATTTCATGGCTAAACCTAAGCTTGTGTTTCTTGTTTCCATGCAGAATGGGAAAATTGATATGACCTACTTCTGCTCTGACTGTATCCACATCACCGTGAAGGGTCACGAGGAGCTGGCTAAAGGACTGTGGAACAACATGGTGAACAAAGACCGTTCATTAAAAAACTGAGGCACAAAAAAGACAAAAGTTAGTGTCTCACTGGGTGACGACTGCTGGTGACAAATTGCAAACATTTGGGTGAGAGCTTCCAAAAATGGAGGTTCTTAACTTCCATCCACAAGTGGCAGGACCTTGCTCGAGTGAAGCTTGAAACCTAAACATATTAGAAAATGTTTGTGGGACACATTTTTCTCTGAAAAGTTGTTGCATACCTTCATAATTATCATGCTTTTGTGACAGTATACGCAAACTCCTGGCAAATTTTGATACAAATTTTGCAGCATCATAAAGTAAAAATTTCAGTTTTTCTTGTGTCTTCAATAAGTCCCTAACAGTTGCAGCCTGGTGAGACACTACCTTTAACCTTACCAAGTCCTTGCAATAATTTACAGCCATTATAATGCTATGTTACAGTAGAAACATTTATTTGACAGAACAGTCTGAAAGAGTGAAAACAGTGATGAAACATACTGACGTTTCTTTTTCTGTATCTTGCTCACAGTTTGAGCCTGTGGGAAATAAGACGCTTCTGAGACGTTTCTCTGGGCCCATCGGACTCAACTGTCCACCTGCTGTAAGTCATGGGCCATGTTAAGTTCACTCTAAAAAATAAAATGTTGGATTTTCCTTTTTAAAAAAAGAGTAAATTGCTTTACTCATCTTGATTTAGTGGAACCAGTTGACATAACCTGGTTAAGTAAATCCAACTCATTTTTTTAGTGTGTGATTACAACACACACATTGAAACGTTACTTAGACATAGCGGGTAAAATAAGTATTGAACACGTCAACATTTTTCTCAGTAAATATATTACTAGAGGTGCTAATGACATGAAATTTTCACCAGATGTCGGTAACAACCCAAGTGATCCATACATACAAAGAAATCAAACCATAAATGTCCAGAAATGAAGTTATTTGTAATAATGTGGAATGGCACAGGGAAAAAGTATTGAACATACTTACTGAAATTTATCTAATACTTTGTACAAAAGCCTTTGTTATCAATGACAGCTTCAAGATGCCTCCTGTATGGAGAAACTAGTGGCATGCATTGCTCAGGTGTGATTTTGGCCCATTCTTCCACACAAACAGTCTTCAAATCTTGAAGGTTTCGTGGACCTCTTCTATGAACTCTGATCTTTAGTTCTTTCCATAGATTTTCTGTTGGATTCAGGTCAGGTGATTGGCTGGGCCATTCCAGCAGCTTTAGTTTCTTTCTCTGAAACCAACTGAGAGTTTCCTTGACTTTGAGTTTGGGCTCATTGTCTTGCTGAAATGTCCAGCCACGTTTCATCTTCATCATCCTGGTAGATGGAAGCAGATTTTTATCAAGAATGTCTCTGTACATTTTTCCATTCATCCTTCCTTCAATTATTTGAAGTTTGCCAGTACCATATGCTGAAAAACAGCCCCACACCATGATGCTCCCACCTCCAAACTTCACTGTTGGTGTGGTGTTTTTGGGCTGATGTGCAGTGCCATTTGACCTCCAAACATGATGTGTATTCTGGCATCCAAACAGTTCAATGTTGGTCTCATCTGACCAGACTATATTCTCCCAGTATTACACAGGCTTGTTTAAATGTTGTGCAGCAAACTTTAAAGGAGCTTCAACATGCTGTTTCTTCAGCAGTGGAGTCTTGCGTGGTGAGCGTGCATACAGGCCATGGTGGTTCAGTGCATTACTTATTGTTTTCTTTGAAACAAWCGTACCTGCTAATTCCAGGTCTTTCTGAAGCTCTCCACAAGTGGTCCTTGGCTCTTGGACAACTCTTCTGATAATTCTTTTCACTCCTCTGTCAGAAATCTTGTGAGGAGCACCTGGTCGTGGTCGGTTTATGGTGAAATRATGTTCTTTCCACTTCTGAATTATGGCCCCAACAGTGCTCACTGGAACCTTCAGAAGTTTAGACATTCTTCTGTAACCGATGCCATCATTATGCTTTGCAACAATAAGGTTGTGAAGGTCTTGAGAGAGCTCTTTACTTTTACCCATCATCAGATGGTTCTTGTGTGATACCTGGCCATCATTTGGGACTGAACCAGCTGATATTAACTTGCACTGACAAGGGGCAGGCTTGCTTTCTAATTACTGAGAGAGTTCAGCTGGTGTCTTGGCTTTCCATGCCTTTTTACACCTCCCTTTCTTCATGTGTTCAATACTTTTTCCCTGTGYCATTCCACATTATTACAAATAACTTCATTTCTGGACATTTDTGGTTTGATTTCTTTGTATGTATGGATCACTTGGGTTGTTACCRACATCTGGTGAAAATTTCATGTCATTAGCWCCTCTAGTAATATATTTACTGAGAAAAATGTTGACGTGTTCAATAMTTATTTTACCCGCTGTATGCCCTTAAAAAGGTAATTATTTCCTTCATTAAGACATTTCTTTGGGTTTGTGCTCCAGCATACCTGATTTGAATAAATGCTTGATTACCAAACTAGCTTGAAGAGGCTATTCATTTACTTAATCATTATCAGGGAAATAAATAAAACATGCAGGATAGCGGTTCCCGAGGACCTCTACTCTACATAATGGTCTGCAGATATGTTAAAATAACTGATTTACTGTGTGCCAATTATGCTTTTGTGTGTCCCATCTGCAGGAACATCCATATATCTACACTCGCCCACAAACAAAACAGTTGGAAAAACCATATCACTGAGTAWAAGGTAACTTTCTATCTAAAATGAATGCAAAGAATTGTATATTAGAGTGAAAACTACTTTGTGTTATACTTCTGAAATTTAGCTGCAGCATTGCAAACATTGTTCTAAAATTTGAAACATTATATTTTCGGCAATAGTTTTTCCTGTGTTCTACCTGCAGGAGCATCTACAGCAACTCAGAGTCAGGTCTACTCTTCCTGCTCCTGCCTTTTGTTTAATCAACAGCTGCTGTCCAACAGCTTTCACAATATGATCTCTCTTTCATTTAGTTAGATTTTTTTTCACCTCAGTTAACAAGCACCTCACCAGTTAATCTACCAGATATGATCAAAAATGAGCCACATACCAACTTAGAATAATTTTTTGTCAACTTCAGAGTGAAGGTGTTCACTTCAACTTTCAGATCAAAACGCACAAGACTGCCTCATTTCCCCTCGCTTCAAGTTTACAGAGAACAAACTGAAGCCAAATTTGCTTAAAGATGCCAACAACTGGATGGTCTTAAGAGCCTCTTGGGTTTCCCATGGGTCCTTAAAATCCTTGAAAGTGTGTGAATTTGAAAAAATGAGTTCAAGATCAGAAAACCGCTACAAAGACACTCCATCCTTGAAAGTCCTTGAATGTATTTTTTGTGGGGTGGGGGGTGGAAAAAATGGATTAAAGTTTTCCATCACCATCATAGACTTCTGTCATCAACATTCAGGGCCGGTCTGTGATTTACCTTAGACAGCTGTACCCCGTGACCCAACAACGTCTACGCCATTCAGTTTTTAATTGAATTTACATTGTGTTAAAATCATCAATTGATGACATATTGAACAGTAGCAGGGAGTAATTGCTGTTGCACTTGATCTTATACTATTAACAACTAAATTTGTGTGTCTTTTGCTTAAAAATGTTGCTTTTATGTCTATGAAAATATCTCTACTTTTTGACTTGAGCAGAATTTGCAGTCCTGGGTTGTAAACTAGGCTTACATGACTGTAAGCCTACTTTTCAAATACTGTAAAGAAATTACATAAAGCATAATTTTCTTCAATTCAAATGATACATTTTGTCTCATTGATCTACTTTTATGACATGAAAATTGTGTAAGGTCATAAATGTGCAGCAAGTATATGGATAATGCAACACTGCCATCAAGTGGTGACTTTGGTAGGGTGGAGGTCCACTCATGATGACCGCTCACCAAACATCCATAACAGTGGCAAAAAGGAGAATTAGTTTGAGCGACCAAAAATGTCAGATATACAATGAATGAATGAATGAATGAATGAATGAATGAATGAATGAATGAATGAATGAATGAATGATACTTTATTGATCCCATGAAGGGAAATTAAATAAACATCACTCTGGGAATTTCACTCAAGGAAATATGTTTGTAGAATTTTTGTGATGTTAAAAATCGTTAAGCTCAGTAACCCCCTCTGTGTCACCACAGAGGACTAGAGATGATGTTCCATTGAAACAAAGATTTAAAAAGATGTTTTCAAAAGGTTAAAAAGTCCCTAAAATGCCAAATGATGTGAAGAGCCAAGGTGCAGCTGAGTCAATTTTTAAAAACAAATGGACATTTTAGACGACACCAAAATATCCCACACAGTGCACCTAAGCCTGTTTAATGTAGTGATACAATGTTGTTTCCATCAACACAATACTGTAAAGCAATATACTCTTAAAAGGGGACATATCATGTAAAATCCACTCTTTTATCCATTAAATACATTTAATTGTGTGCCTGGAGTCTCTAGGTGTGTAGAAATTTTTAATTTAGTTGCTCTCGATCCTGCATAGAGGTCATATATTTTTTAACCACTTCAATTTTTTCTATTTTCTATGACATTTTCTAAACTTTTACATCATAGAATTTGCAACAGAACTGCCGAATTATGTCTGAACTTACCAACTATAATTTGGTCGTCTTCATTCTCCTCTGGCTCYGGGTCAGACTCCGGTTCCTTGTTTGGATTTAAAGAGACAGCCTCAAAATGAGTTGATCTAAGACTTGCCTCAGAAAAGGAGTGTAAGTGGGGCTTGTGGAGTTACAATAAGGAGGAATGTAGACCAAAGCATTGCAGTTCCACTTAATGTAGACCCCCAAATGAAGGATTTAAATGTGGAAAAAGAAGGATTTAAAAGCAGGACATGTCTACTTTAATGGTTTTCAAATGGTAGCATTAACTGTATGTGTACCTGCAGCAACATACTCATTTAATACAAAGGACAACATGTGAGATGCTATTAAGAGCCTAATATTAAGTGTCCACATATCAGTAGTGATCCAAGTAGAGTGTGGACCACATAYCCACAAAAACTGTATTAAATAAGCAAAATAGCCGCAGAGAGCTGCAGAAACAAACAGAAATCTCATTACCTGCAGGCCATCGCTGCAGTCAGGTATTGTACCAACACCAGCTGTCACTGACCTTAAATAAGGCTCACTAAGTGATGACTGGCCATGACATCCTCATCAGGAAAGGTCTGGCAGAGAGCAGACAAATATATTTCCTGGTACGTTAAAAACGGCAAGAAATGACTCATATCCATCTGGTTCAGAGAAAGAATAAATAACACACTAGATCAGGGGTCTGCAACCTTTTCAATCAAAGAAGCCATTTCTCACTAATAAAATGTGTCCAGAGCCACAAAACAAGCTTCAGCTGCGATTATAAACTGGTGGTCCATGGGCCTTTTCAAGGCCTTTAAGGGAACTTTTATGGTCAGTGAAGGAGACAGTATAAAACTGGAGTATTGTTATTATTATTATATTATTATTTTTTTACACACATCAGGACAAATAAAATATTAATATAAACATGAAAAATACTGTATATAGTTTAAACTGAATTTCATAAAAACTAGTACAACTGAATTATTCAGGCATATTTATTTTCTAATTCTTATTATTGTGTAGTCTTCAAATTCTTTAAATGTATCCTGATGGATTTGAGAGAGAAAGATCATAGAAAGAAAATGGAATATTTAAAGGGGCAACATTATGTGTTTCTCAGGCATATATTTAAATACTATACCATAATAAAGTATCTATGTCACCTTTAGCTTTATTAAAATGCTGTTTTTATGTTTAAATAGAAAATAAACTTATCTTCTCATCACTTCCTCTTCTAAACGCCTTGAAATCGGCCTCTGTCTCTTTAAGAGCCACCTTCCGCCTCGCCCATTTCGGTGCGGGGTGGGGTGGTTCGCGCTCGCGCGGTGGTGGTGGGGGTGCGGGGGGCTGCTATGATGCAGTTTACTTGGCATCTGAAAATACATTTCCTCAAAAGGTATTTTCAATCTGAAAAGAGCTTCACTGAGTGAGACGTTTTGGAGCTCAGTAGACAGTTTAAGTTTCACTTTCACCTGAGAGCCTACAGGAGTCATGGGTGGGGGGTGTGTGTGTGTGTGTGTGTGGGGGGGGGGGCTCTGTCATAAGAAACCTCAGCTTAAAGACACACCCAAAAGGTGTTTCTGGTCCCCACCTATCGTTTTGCTCCTCAGCATGGCTTCCTAAAAACTCTGCAGGTTTCTTAAACATGCATGAATGAGTCAGAGCAAGGTTTCGGCATGTTTTTTATGAGAGTATAACATTATAACATGATATAAAACTCTAAAAAGTTGATTTTACATGATATTGCCCCTTTAAATAAACAACAGGCTAGCATAAGCTAACGTTTTACTTTTTGTATTAGTATTATTGATCACATACAAATTTATTGCTGTTGTGAGTGTAAAAAAAACCCCAATTCTGTTATGTTTGTCATATTTTCAAAGAGCCACAGCTGAGGGACCAAAGAGCCACATGTGRCCCCAGAGCTGCAGGCTGCAGACCCCTGCACTAGATCAATGTTTTTACAAACCTTTAGCTCCAAGGTGTTGCACAAATTAAAAGTAAACACTCAGGTCCACTTCAGATGRTAACAAAGTGGTTCCAGTTTCAGTTTAGGTAAACAGTTCAATCCCGCAGGAGCTCACCAGTTCCGTGCACCTGCGGCTTCTCTTGCAGTCATTTACATCAGTTTCTTCAGAATTTGCTTCGTTCCTGTGCAAATGTTTCAGTTAACTTCCCACAAGAAGTGATGAAACAAAGCAGGTTCATCCATGAAAATAGATTTTTTCAGATGAATATCACAAGAGATCTTAAACACTTACCTCCAACAAAGCTTTCCTTCTGTAGAAGACACACGGACATGGAGAATGAATGCCATTGCTGAAAAGGCTGGATAAATCTGATGCTGTATTATGAATCATATCTGTTGTGAATGGATGTCTTCAGGCTAAAGGAAATCTCCTGCAGAGCTGAGTTAGCTTCTGATTCTCTGAAAGCAGCTGGCAAGTGTTAGCAGCTGACTTCGGCTCGTGCATTTGCAGAAACAAAAACTTTTATAAAATAGTGCGGCACAAAACTGTTTTTTTTTTTTAATTCAGACTTTCCCGTTACAAGTTGCTTTGGTTCAGCTGAYTGTCTCTTGTCTGAAACATTTTTAAAGACGAGTAGACAAGGGTTTTTTTGAAGGTGTTACGCAACTTCAGCTGCTGCGACAGTTTCCACCCCCTCACCAAAAGTTTCAATTGGAGGTTTTCCCACAGCTCAGATGGCTGCGACTCGTACTCCGAACATGAAAAACAAAATTAGGCCACGGCTGGGCCTTTTAGTGTTTCAGTGCAAACAAGAACTTAAACGTATCACTTTCTTATTTAGTCTCTAAAATCCATTGTTCTGTTGCACATTTTGTTTGCTGTAAACGTTGTGTACTGCTGTGGGAATTTCACGTACTGAAAGGATTGYGGAGTTTTTCAAGTCGCATTTTAAAATACTCATTGGCTTTTAACGCAGCAGGAAAGTTAACTTGGTTTCATTTAATGGTTTTATTTTCTTGTCATGTTTTCACAGTTTGGCTTAAACTATTCTTTTTTTTTTTTACTTTTGTTGGTCAATAGCAGCTGTTATTTTTATTTATTGTTATTTTTAATAGGGGTGACACCAATTTTTCTCAAGCTGAGTACAAATATGAGTACTTTAAATTTAATTTTAACTCAGTTTTAACTCATTATATTCTGTGCTGAACAGATGAGGAAATGCATGGCTAGACTACCAAAACTAACAAATGGTAACAAATGTGACAACGTTTGAACCTCTGATAGAGTTCTGTTAAATAAAGAGCTGAAGATCTTGATCCAGGGATGGACAACAGTCAATGAACGGGAACACAATTTTGTTTTTGGACACTACCAGAGAGCCACAAAGCTCTGCACACTTACCTAAATTAATAAAACTGCTATTTTAAAAATGTTTGAATGCACACGCACGCGCGCGCACACACAC